TCAGTGGATGTATAATCTGCTATAATAATAATATTATGATTCGATGGGACACACTGAGTGCAGTAATGAAACCATATTATATACAGGTATATGTACCCCTTTAGATTATAAAAACACATTATTGTTGGGTGTGAAGACATGAATGAGCTGATTCAAAGGTTAAATCACTGTAGTTGCTTTGCATTTTCAAGTGATTTGTTAGATTATTATTTTATCTTTAACAGAATAATGACACTTGATGTAGAATTAAATAATAGCAGATGCAAATGATTTTGTCCCCACACTCTGCGAGGAAAGTAGTGCATTGTTTAATTAGGCCTTATCGATTTCAACTCACTTTTCCATCTCGACTCATTGCTCTTTCCCCATGTTTCTCTCACTCTTTTCCTCATTGCTTGTAACCTCTTCACCTCGGAGCAAGCGGCATGAGAAATGACTTTGGTTCCTTTTTGGCGGAGGTTGAAAGATGCAAGGAAAGAGCAAAAGGCCAGATATCACCGGGGGGGACAGTCTATGTTCCCTCGGCTGCATGAATCTAAGTCCTCCTCTTTCACTGCTCCTCCCAGCTTCCTCCTTCCCTCCTATTGTGTGTTCGCTGTGGTAGCATCTGGTTAATGAGCCTCTTCAGTGGATAGTCTCCTCCATCTTCTTACACGTGCACATTTTGTGTGGGCATACAACCACACATACAGTTTGTATTCTTTCCCTCGTTCCACGATGTCTTGGTAAGAATGTGTGCTAACTGGTTGAATGTGGAAAGGACTTTTTGTGAAGGACATTCAGTAATTTCGAGTACGTCTGAAAATAATTTTAATTCACATGAACTGCACTGTCTGTGTGTGCGATTGTAGGCATGAAAGAAATTACTTTGGACAGTGTAGCAGTTAATATTACCTATTGAAGGGGTTATACAAATATTTTCTCTCTCTGTCTAAGACTCGCACTATTCTCTTATATTCAAGGTTTTTTCTGGGTGTATTTATTTAACATTGTCCTTGTTGACTGATTCCACAACCTGAGAGCGAAGGAGACTTTAATGAATCCCGGCAGTGATTTCTGTACACAGAATGGAGGAGATGTGTTCTGGCTGCAAACTGTCTAATTAAATGGTTGGAGACGAGGGTAGATGGCACAAATGTTCTGAAAAGGAGCTTTGCATGTGTTTGTATGTTTTGTCAATGTGTGTCCGCTCTCTTGGACACCGGTTTAAGTAAACTCAGACTCCTGGACCTAAAATCCACATGAGTAATCTCAGTGAATCAAAGACAAGGCCAGCGGCTTTTTTTTTTAGAGAGCTGGCAGAATTAGCTCGCTAGGAATGCTCATAGCTGGACACAACTTTGCAGGGCATTCTGTTTAACCCGCCCCATCCTAACAAATAAGCAGGGATCAAAGGATTAGAGCACCATTATTAAAACCAGCTGGAGGCCTGTTGCCGACTAGAAGCATGATGCTAATAATTTGGCATTTTCACATCATGGGATACATGACTTTAGAGAGCTGGGGTTCTTCGCTGAAAATACTTTTATATCAAAAGTTAACCGTTGGTTGTCACAGTATGTTATCAGATTTGTGGAGATTTGGCATCAGTAGTCTCAATGGATTGATTCTTAAACATAGTTGTCAAAAGAAGGAACTTTAAACTTTTACTCTACAAATGATTGTGAACCACTCACACAATGCTTACTAGTCTGCAATATTGCATTGAGCATTCTGGTTGTGGTGATTCTATCAAATGAGCACATCTTGGTTAACTGATTTAATGTAAAAGTCTAGCAAAAAAAGCTTTTACTTGTAGTTTGACAGTGTTCTTTTACAGCCGAGCCATTGCACCTCCTAAATGATGGTTCAGAATTCAATATCCTGCCATGATATCATCTATTACATTTAGCCAGCGTTAACTTAGCTTTAGATTCCCATCCCTACAGACACATGTTGTATGTCCTCATGTCTGGAATGTGCTGTTGAATCTTTCATTGAAAGGCAACGGAAATGTGTTTTCCAGATAACATTACAGTTGCAATAAAACTTGGCTTGGGCTGTGATTGAAACAATACTGTGCCTAAGCCGCACTGAGCCCACCTGTTTGTTCTGCCGTAATTGGATTCTGCTTCATTCCATTTGCCTTAATGCTGATGCATAATGCAGTGTACTGAGGGGACCAGCCATTACTAGCCAGGGGACATGGCTTGGAGGAGTAACCCGACCTCGTCCCCCCGCCTTCCTCCCCCTCCGGTCTCTGGGACATCTTTTCAGGGCCTCTGTCCTTCAAAGCAGCCACTTGCTCAGGCTGGATGGATTGATGGTTGAGGCTGCTTGCCTGATGGGAACCAGAATAGTAGGTGTTGATGTTACAGCCTGCAAGAACAATAAGCTGGCCCTCAGCAGCATGTTAATCCAAAATAAACAGGCGCTGTCGCGGACAGTTTGGTCCCGGGTGCAGGGATCCTCATCAAACACACCAGTATGAAGAGCTGTTAGCAAGAAAGGAATGTAGAGCCAAACCTTAATCCTTCCTTTGTAGTCTAAAATGTACAGCAACGCACATCAGTTACCTGCAGCATGCCAACACAATGGCAACATCCAAGTTCAGTTGAATTGATTTAGTTGATTTTTCACAAAGGAGTTTAAGCCTTATACTTGTCCTGCAAATGATCAAGGAATGAATTCCAGTGTAAATATGAATTTACAATTGGTGAAAAGTAGTTTTATAACACAATCTTGATATTTGTTCACTCGCACATTTTGTCCATTGTTCTGTTTGTGTAGGAGGTGGATAGCGTGATATAGCCACATCTCTAAACATCACAACAGCTTCACCCACTGTCATCATGACAGAGACTCCCATATGCTTCTTGCCATTTTCATCGGGGCCATACTTCTGTAATGATCAGCTGCCTTTGCTAAGTGGCTGGTGTCGATGGCTGCGACTCAGCTCTGTGACTCAGCTCTGCCTGCCACAATGATGAAGATAAGACATCTGGAGATGTATGTGTGTGCTTTCCCATTGTGTGCACACATTACATATGGGTGAATTAAGCTGTGGTGGAAGGAGAAGTGGAGCAATAAGAAGAGTGACATAAATTGTGTGGGTACTGGTGTGTATACATGACTGAGTGGGTGAGCGGCTGTGGTCAAGGTTCATTAGTGTGTCATCGGCTGCCTCCACACCGAAATAATAAGGCCCCCTTTCTCTACTGCCTTCACTTCCTTCCCTCTCTGCATCTGCTGAATATGAATTGAGCTGTGAAAAAGGGCATCTGATCTTGAGTGACCTAGCTTACACACTGACACATAACTAAGAAATAGCTGATGAAGCGACAACATTAGCATGTAACGGCAAGGTTGTGAGGGATAGAGAGAGCTTGATGAGCTGTAAAGAAGGTTCCGCACAGAGGAAGTTATTGAAAGAGTACGCAAAATGCATTTAATTAAAGACTGGCATCTTGATCTCAGGTTAAATCGGGTGTACAGAGCATGCAAGAAAGGATTTGATTTCCATCTTCTCTTACCCTTTTCCAAAGTTATTAGTCAATAATTATCTTAATGAACATAAGGCTTCAGAGACGGCCTTAACATAAAATATATGCTGGAACATTGATTGCAGCAATGTCTACAAACATGTTTGAATGTAAAACATTCTGCAGACAGAGAGAAAGAGATCAGAGTATTGTACATAAATACTGTTATTTAAGAGGACGTTGAACAACACACAGGTAGACATTAAAATCTGCATCTTGTATGCATGGGCATACTGTATGTATGTGCACGCATTGGTAGCTGTGTGCTGTAAAATATGATGAAGCCGAGTCAGTTGAGCTTTGATGAATGGATATGGCCACGCTGACAGACGAGAAGAGAGGGTGACACAGCTGGGAGAGAGGGGAAGGAAAGGAGGGGTAAGGTATAGGTTCACTAGAGAGGAGTTGACAGATCCCAAATGGTAGCCTTTGGAAATGCTTGGCTTCATTGCATCAGCTGTGGAATGATCCACAGAAGATGTAAAATGATGCCCGAAAGACATATAAGTGGACACTTCACCATTTCTCTGGAAATAATGGAAATGAAAACTAGTTACAAATAAATAGCGTTAATATATCCCAATAATGGGACATATGGTGCATTAGGTCCTGACATGAGACAACAGCATACATTTTTTAAATACTGTACTTCCTGCTGTCATGACGGATGCACACATTGCACAGCCCCCATGCTCTAGCTGACATGTGTTTGACCCCTATTCTGTCTACAGGAGACAGCACCTGGTGCCTCAACACAACACCATTAGTGGTCAAATACACACACAAACATACACACATGAACACACACACAACTCTCTTGCACACGCTCTCCGCATGAGATATTTTTAGAAGATGTGATACAACCACTATGGTAGCTAACACTCAGAGATTCACACCCGATGGGCTTGACAGGAAGGGATCCATTTCCTGACAGCAACCACAAACCATCCGTGCATGCAGGACATACATGTATATCCTCAGTGTGTGAACTTTATGTCGCTAGAAGAGCTTTGAGGTTGTTATCGATGGAAAAATACATATAGTAAACATGCGACGTGTTAGCACAACATGATATCTTTCAGTTTCGAACATTGTTTAAAGGATGCAAATGTACTTGATCCTTTTTAAGATTCTGCCAGTTGTTAAATCTAAAACGCTTCAATTAAACTGTGGGCGCAGCACTCAGGTTTCCCAAGAGACATTTGCACATCTGTAAATACTTTCTGGCTATAATTGTACAAGAACCATGACTAACCCTACAAAATCCTCTTAAGAGTCAACATTAAGCATCAATTTGGTTTTTTCTGAATAGATTACCTCAGTCTAGAGGGAAGAAAGTAGTCCTTTTAAACGTCTATTCATGCAGAGCTTTTTCTAAAGGGGAAAACACAGTCAGAAATATGTAAAGTACACATGTGATGCTCCATTTAGTCTTTTATTAACATCCTCTTTATATTTGTCTTTTGTTTTGTTTTCCAGCCTCCACCATTGCTGAGAACGGGAGGAAAACATGCCTGAAGCTCAAAGTTTTCGTCCGACCATCAAGTACGTTTTTGCATCCAACACAAGGCTTTGTAATCGAGCTGGTTGAAGTTTGGATTGAAAATCAAAACAGTTTATGTCTACTTCTCTGGTTACCTCACTTCCTCCTCAATCACCTTGTGCTCACTGTCCAACATATCCCTTTCATTTATCACAAAAACTTCCCCACCAAGTTTTCTTTAACATGAAAAGGTTGATATATAATCACATTAAATGAAATCCAGGTCACTTCATACCTCATCTGAATGTTGCCATGAGCTTTGTTGCTTGGGATGTTTAATTTCAGTGCTGAGTGGGGGGGGGCTTCAAATGTCACTAACCTATTTGGCATAAAACCTCTAATGATCTCTCATTCTCCCTATTTTCTGTTATAGACAGCTGTGTGAAAACTATAGGCGTACATGACCGCGTTTTTGACGTAAACGACAAAGTAGACAATACATTAGAACCACGAGGTTAGTATGGCTTCCTGCTTTTTTGATTCTCTTCAGTATGACCTCCATACATCTGTACATGTGTCTCCTGCTCTGTGTTCTGTTCTGCCGATTCCTGGAAGCTGAGGTGTCCTTCCACTTCCTGCCTGATGCTTCTCCAGATGTTGTGCCTTGTTACTATTGCTTGTATATTGTATTGATGGACTATGTTGCATGGTGATATATCTTTTTAAATACATTGACTAGTGTTTATAATGAATTTCAATCATATTGCTTTCATGAATGTGTCACTTTAAATGTGAGGTTTTTTCATAGAAGTGCATGTCTCACATTTTTACACCGTTTTCAAACCTTTTCACTAACCCTAAATGTCATTTCCAACTGCATGTTGTACTCCATAACATAACTCGTGTTTTTCTTCTGACCCAATACAAAAAGTAATGTAGGTGCTTTAAACAATCTGACCGGTGTAAACAAATAATAATGTAATGATATGTTCATACACATATATTTATGAAACATCCAAAGCATTGCCATTTTTTATTTTCTGTTTCGCTCCTCACTGAGTTGCTGTTTGCTCTGTAGCACAGCATTGATTTCATTTCATTTCAAACCTTTATTTATACAGATGAATCCCATTGAGATCATTGATCTCTTTTTCAAGGGAGACCTGCTCAAGTAGTTCCACATGAAACATAAAAACATAAATAGAACAACAAAAGGACATCATACAGCATCATTTACATAATTATCCATATAAACAGGTACCAACAGCTTCCGATTGAGTAGCATCCAACCCAGCTTTAAAAACATTTAGTGGCACCAGATTGTTCAGTTTCCATTTAATTTGCAGACTATTCCAAGACAGAGGAGCTGCACATCTAAAAGCTGTCTTCCCTAAGACAGTCCTAGCAGTTGGCACATTTAATAAAACCACAGCATTCGATCTCAGGCAGTAGCCACTTACAATTCGCCGTGAGATCAGGGAGCAGATATAAGATGGAAGTTTCCCTAACATGGCTTTGTATATAAAAATGTACCAGTGACTGATTATTTTCAGTGCTCAGAACACTGAGGGGTTTAATGTCTTCTTCATACATGAGTCTAGCCCAGTCACTGAACTGAAACACATCACCCACATGCTGACGTCTCATTCCCAGCAGGAGCTCACCCAAAGATCAGAAAAAGCCCCGCTGGGAATATATAACAGCCTGTCCAACATATGACATTTAAAAAAAGACTGTTTATGAATATTAAAACATTATTTTAAAGTATTCCAATCTGAAATTGGAGGTTTACTATGACGTTCAAAGTGTATAAATGGGACACACACATCCACAAGGCCAGATCCTAGGACATTGATGACGCCCATCTTCCTCTCGTCCTGCCTGATGTTCTATCTACCTGCTTCTTTCAGGGCTGCCTCACACCTTGCATGCTTCTTTTGGCTCATTCCTCTAAAACGCTCTCTAAAGAAGGGAAATTAAAGCATTCAACCATCATATACTGTTGCCATGTCCCTCCACACTGAACAAACAACAAACACACACACATTTATATAATGATGTAACTGCTCAGGTCCTCTTTCCTGTCTCTATCCTTTGCTGTGCATGGTTCAGCTGCTCCCCATGGTGCAGAGGGCACATGGCTGCTCACACACTGATGCCGAGCAGACACAAGAGGCACCTCACCTGGGAATTTAATTCAAAATTATTTGAAGTATGAAATAGCAACCCAAGTTCATATGACAACTCAGACTTCATTGCAACAACTTCATAAAGTGTAATAAACATGAGCCCAAACATCTCCCACATAATGCACGAAGTCTCCACAATTGGTATTCATTTTCAAATATAGCTCACAGCTTTGTATGGCACACTTAAAACATATGGAAGTTCATTAATTGTATATTATTTTCTTTTGTCTGTGATGCAATGAAGCAACATTGTTCAATGAATAACAACCGCTTTGGTCCTTTTTCCTGTTCTTTAGATGATACCAGCCATGAACCGGCTGAGCCTTCCAAAAGTGACGAAACGAATGCTGCAACGCACCTGCAGAAAACAAGTCCAGTCCTGGCTTTGTTGCTGGTCTGCCTATCAGCACTCTTCACTTTATAGCGCTCCCCTCTGTCCCCGGAGGGCATTTACACCTAGCGTGGCCTGAATCTGCCCGAGGCTGCAGGGAAGGGGCGGGATTTGGGTGGAGTGTGTTTGCTTGATTGGGCATCAGAGCAGGCTTCTCAAAGAACCCTCTATTTTTTTTCAGAAATATATTTAAGTGGTCTTTCTCCGTCTGTGAGTGAACAAAAGTTGGTTTTGGAAGTGGGAGAGACAGTTCCCCTCTCAAACCTTCAACTGAGATGCCAAATCCCTTTTTTGACACTTAGTGATTCTTATTTTCCAGTGACTTTTGACGTCCCTTTACATCATGTTTATGTCATTGCAGCACTGATGTTTAGCCACACACACATAAACAGCACATACACAGAAACATGTTTCGAGAGTCAAATACAAACTACACAACTACACTAACAATCAATAGAAGTAGGGTTTTTTACACTTGTAAACAGTAGCAGCAGTACACAGTAGGAATGTAGAGAATCTAGGTTTTAGAAAAAACTGTACATACACAAAATAAATTGTCCCGAGACCTCTGAAAAGCCTTTCAGAAAATAGTTTTGAACAAGTTATTTGGGTTCATATGAAGCCGATTTTGGCTCCTCCATTTTACAATGAAGTAAAGTACAAAGCTGAAAGATGAAGATGTTGGAAAAGAGGAGCAATGATTTTAAGCTAAGGTCAGATTTGAAACCACAGCACTGAGCACTGACATACATGGCATGCACCTTAGCCTGCCAATCTTCAGACTGTCCCGGATTGAAGTTGAGCCCAATGCTCTTAGGAATACAAAGTGTGTGTGTAAACGTTGATAAGCTGCTTAGAGCAAGTGAGTGTAAAACCTTTTGAAACACGAGGCATTCTTTCCTCATCCCTCTTTGTGTAGAGTATGCCAGTCCACTCAATAAAACACCTCTGGTTCACCACAACTCACAAAACAGCTAAATTGAAACTTTCTCACCAGACACTTTGTAGACTGCTATCAAGCTCGAGGATCAATATCTTTTGAAAGTTGATCACACAATTTCACGGCCACAGTCACAGTCATTGTATGCAATGTTTACTGAGCAGGACTGCAATTGTTCTCTCCGCTCCATTTGAGTATTAATCAATATTAACACTCCCATAAACATTTGGATTTACACCTTTTTTTATCGGATATTGATTGTTTAAGTGATTGTTTAAAAAATGATTCACAGCTAAATTGGAGACTTTCAAACTATTAAATTATTTTTGCCAATGGTGTCTTCAAACATTATATTCAGTGGAGACACTGTCAACTTTTTAATGTATTTTTGTACTGTCTGACAATTAGACCCCTCAATTAGAAAAACAGATGTCATGGGAAACATTTTTAAAATACATTTAAATTCACAGTACCATAGCTTTTTCACTGTCACTTAAACCACAGCTTTGACTCGTTCTTATTAAATGTTAGTTAGTTCACATTTAGTTTATTGCAGTATTTAGACAGCTTTTACAGGCCTGATGCATAGCTCATTAGTTGAAAACACGTAGCGTTAATAGAAAAACTTTCCATGTAATTCAAAGCAATGCCAGCTCTTTTTTTAGACGGGCCAGGTTTATGTTAGCACTTACATAAAAAAAAATGCCTGTGTAGTAATGACATTCAGCATCCTTCAGTTCCCACAGATACACATGGTATGCAAGCATAATGAAAGTATCGTCTTTTCTTTTAAAGGAATGGACCGTGTTTCTTTGTTTTCAAGAAATGTGGGAGGATAGAGAAACTAATTCCTTTCTTTTGTAGAAAAGTTTTAGTTTGAGAATAGGGTACCAATTGGTTAAGAAAGATAGATAGAGAGAAATAGAGCAAGAAAAGGAGCATGTCCACCTTCAGCTCCTAATGTTACAGGTTTAAGTGACTCTTTAATGAGGTTCAAAATGACAGGCATGTGGACCCCATGTTGTGGCAAGGGGAGTTATTCCTGGTATTAAAAATAGATGGTGGAAGGCTTGGGGGGTCTCAGGAGGGGGGTGTAGATTTCCATCGTGGGGGGTTTGAAAGCACCAATGACCTTGCAGTTGAGAGAATTGGTTAGTTAAGGAAACAGAGAGACAAACACACAGGGAGTCAGAAAGACATGGGAGAGAGCCGAAGGCGGTGTGACAGTGCCTACAAAAACACGACAAGACAAAACAACTTAAATTCCATGCAACACTACTGACAAAACACCTGACTCAATGACAAACTTATTGTTTAGTATCACGCTGTCTCAGAAGGCATGCACTGTTATGTTTTTGCTTTATTTTCCATTTTTGTAGCGGCCTTTTGTCATTTATTTTTCCTGAAAGACTGCCTTTGCCTTTTACCATTTGTTTTTACGCTATGGTAACAATGCTATTACAGCAGAATAGCAGCTCAGCTATGGGGGGTAATAGGAGACGAGGCCATTTAATGAGTTACTAATTTTCAGGAGAACACCACAGGGAATGAGCACCGCATAAGATACAAAATGGACGCTTGTCAGCAGATTAACACTAGACTTTTATCAGAAACCAGCTTCAATTGTACTCTCTTATACTGTAGTTACCGATACTACTATTTGTCATTATTGCTATTATTACCATGGTTTATTCTGTACACACCTTAACCTGGGAAATGAGGATCAACTTATAAACTGGATACTGTGTATCCTGAGGTAGTCAACCATAAAACAAGTAGTGTTAGGTTAGTATCTGTTTTGTACCTTTCTGGAGGACAAAAAAAATTAGATCATTGTTAAACTGTATAATTATTATTATTGTTATGATGATGATTATGACTATTATTATTAGGAAAACTTGATGTAAATAGTGTTTGATATTAAAGTATTAATTTGGTTCTTATGTCTTTTCTAAAAAATGGATACGGTATTATCTCTGGGTTTTGCGGAGTGTATACTGTACTCAAACAATGCATTGTGTGCTTTGACCCTCAATGCCTAATGAAACTTTGAGCTAATATGAAGGGGAAACCTGTGGGAGCTGTACACCATGTACAAAAGGATGGCTCACCTGTTACATGTTTCAAACCAGTCACCAACCTTCACATCTCTTCATAAGGATCCTGCCTTGGAAAGACACACTTTGGACTTAACGGAAGGTTTATTTGTACTTTTTTGCCTTCAGTGTTTGAAAGCATGTTAGTCAGCTTAAAGATCTGCCAGGAATGGACTGTCTGCTTTTTATTGGAAGGATCTCACCAGTTTCATTATGTGGCATGCGCATGAACTTGATGACATAAAAAAAAAATATATCAAAAAAGTTTTTTAAAGAAAGTATTATTTTGCTCTTGTTTTCCTTTTTCTTTAAGACGTGTTAGATTTTTGGATCACTTTCATGTTGTGTGTTTTTGCATCCCCATTTGAGTGATGTCATTTAAACTGTGTAGTGACAGATGACAAATGTACATAACACAAACCATTGTTGTGAAGTTACAGTAGGGGACAGTCATTTTGTAGTTCAAAAGCAACTTTCTCATTTATCCTAAGGCTGACTCTCTCCATACCCATCTATTGAATTCATGTAGTTGCAGTCTGTCTCTCCTGACTATTCATCTTATTTCCGCTCTCCCAAGAGGAGGCGTTCTTGGAGTGTATACATCAATGTGTGGACGTTTTTCAGTGTGAAAAAAATGTGTGAGACATTTGAGTTTGTGTGTGTGCGTGTCTCATTTGCTGTTGCCGCAGTGAATGGGAAGCGGCAACCCTCTTTGGCAACGAAGAGTGTTTCCCATGCCTTAGCCCTCCAGCCTCTGCCCTGGCAGTCTCGTCTGTGTACAGACGCTTTCTGCCATTGTGCTTTTACACAGGACGGCTGCTGGCGTCCAAGAGACTACAACAGGGCCCTTCACTTTCTCTCCCTTTCTAACAACCCTGAATCACTCCTCCCTACAGTAGACGTTAGTCCTGGACACAGTTCAAGGATTAGTTCACCCCCTGCACCAAATCCTTAACTGGATTGTTAGCGGGGTAATGCCTATCATCGATCCAGGTTCTGTGCCTGCAGGGCAAAGCCTCTCTTTTCATCAGCTCCCTTTTTGCCAATGAGCTCTTGTTCATTTTGTGCGCCTGTCCTGTCCCATTCTTGTGCTTGTATGAACCCCACCACACCACCTTCTCCTGCTCCCTCACCTTTAAACCTCGCTTCCACTTTGCCATCAGTGGGGAATATTTCCAACCTGCTCTTTTACAGTATATAGACAACAACGAAAAATTTGACAAAAAATTATCTGTATTTGTATATACACGTGTCTGAGCAACTATGAGTAATACAATAAAACAGAAATACATTGCTTTGATCATTGTGTTACTCTTTTTTGTCTTTTTGAACCTTTAACAGAGAAATTAAAGTACAACTGACATATTTTACTGTGATGGTTGTCCTAGCCCTGTAATCAAAAATAACTGTTAAATCTGCCACTGCATATGGCACATGGTGGTCATGCATTATGCATTGGTGCCAATGCATATGGCTAATGAATACTGCAATACAGATTCCAACTGTAACTAACACAGCAAATAAACATATACCTCTGACTTGGGTATAATCATGTCTAATCATGTACCAAATTGGATGCACCATAACCATGCACACTCACACACACACTCCCTTTTATACGCATCTCACCCTCCATGCCCCTGCCTAGTCGTTTACTCTGGGGAATCACACCCTCTAAAGACAGACTGAGAGGAACACCATCCATCAGGATCAGAATAAGACCTTAAACCTCCTTTCACTTCACTCGGGCACTAATGAGGACACCTAATAACCTTCTGCTGGACCCCATCAGTGCCATTTAGCTTCACCCTCCATTATCTCTGGTAATTAGACTCAGAGCCAGCCAGCCCTGAGGACCAAAGGGGGGGGGGTCGTGATAGGCCAATTGGAGCCATTTTATAAAGATTTGACTTAATAATATACAAACACTGTCCGTCATATGGGAGGTACATATAGAAGAAGAATTTGATAAATAACATCAAGAACGCTTGGATTCCTGAAGTATAGTTATTGTTTGAAAGGTAAAGAGTACATCGTGTTAGTCATACAATCATCAGTATGAAATCCTTTACAATTTCATCCTTCTCATCCAGGGTTTGTACTTTTTTAAGCATCACAAGAAGAAATGCTTTATGCAAGAACACACTTGACATGATGAGCCAATTAGTGTCAAGTTGTTCTGCCTGCTGTTATTACCAAAGGAATGATCTGCAGATGCAGGTGTGTGTGTGTGTGTGTGTGTGTGTGTGTGTGTGTGTGTGGTGTGTGTGTGTGTGTGTGTGTGTGTGTGTGTGTGTGTGTGTGTGTGTGTGTGTGTGTGTGTCTATGAAGACCAATAAAGACAAATCACTGCGCCTGATCATTAAATTGAAGGTAATGATAGCTTCATGTGAAGATGTGTCCCAGATGTACTATGAAGCTATGAACATAATCAAGGTCTGTGACCACCATTGAGTGAGAAGAGGGCACTGGGATGAGACTGACACCATGTCCCGCATGAGATGGCAAAATGGATGTGCACAGATTAACCTGTGCCTGATTCT